TAGAAATCAGAAATAATTTCGTACCAATTCATTCTGATGATAGCTATTCCCCTAAATTCTTTAAAATATCATATTTATCAATGACAGGTCTATGATTTGGTAAATTCAGTTCAATGACCAATCAATTGTAAGTAACATTTTTAACGTGTGTTCTGATGTAATTTTTTTCATAATAAATACCGCCCAATACATACATTATGAATGCACAATTTCTTTATTGTCTCTATCATAAATGGCAACCAAACATTTTAGGCGTATTTATCTCATATTGCAATTTGCCAGCTTTCATATTCCTTAAAATCCAGAACAAGTTTTATTGATGTTTGGAAATAGTTGGTTCCGATTCATCTTATCTAAGGCTTTGATTTCTTAGAACGAAAAAAGTGAAATTTTAAATAATTGTTATTTCGTATAATAATTTCATATTACCCCTGACACAAACATTTATTAGACACTTTATTCTATTACAAACATGTATACATCGCTTAGCTTTAATATTATTATTTTTTCTATGATTAGCTGATACTTTGATACTACCACTCTCCTTTTTTTGTTGTTGTTTAAAACACACAAATACACACTTTTATATTTATATTTAATACAAAAATACACAAAACAACATTATAACAGCTAGGGTAGTTACTACTCAGCTATATAGTCAGAATGCCGAAACCAATAAAACATTTATAGCAAATGTCATTAATAATTTATCTGTACTATTATTAAATACAAAATAGTAAAAATAAAAAAGCGAAAACAAAAAATAACTACAAAAATATATTTGTATTTAGACATATTCCTCAAGTGATTGTTAAAACCAATTAAAAAAGGACAAAACATGATATTAACAAACAAAAAGAAATATTAACTAAATGAATTGCTTTGTTTGTCTTAGTTTTTTATATATAATTTTTAAACTATATATTATCATAAAGCATACATTTATATTTATATATAACAAATATTATTAATACAAAAATATATATACATAAATCATTATTAAGACAAAACAAAAAAATAAGAAAAGAAAAAAACAGAACGACTGACTAATACACAAAAATGGAAATAAATCATTATTTTTATTATCATTTGAGATATAATAAAATTATAACTGTAATAATTATAATTATTATTATTTAAATAAATTGCAAATAAATAGACAAAAAAACAGAGAAAACAGAAAATATTATGTATTATGATAATAACATTAGAAATTATTAATAATTAATTATAATGAAATATTAAAAAAAAAACAAAAAAGAAAAATAAATAAAAATAATAAAGTATTTATTGAATAATAAATAAAAAATGTTCGTTTTATTTAAAGGTAAGGTAAATACTAGAATATTCAATTTCCACTTGATCCTAAATACAACATATATAAAGTTTTGTCATGTTCTTTAAACGTTGGATAGAATTCGTTGGCAGAAAGGAACCTTCTTTAGTAGAATAGTAGGGAAGACTGGGACAGCTTCGGCACTTTTTGTTTAGAGCTCTTTATCTCAGTACTTATTCAACAGGCATAAAAACGTGTTTACATATTTTTTAGTGAAATATTTTTTACAGTTTCATTTATTTCATTTCATTTATTAGTTCACTACATTGTTTTGTCAAAAAAGCCAAATTCGCCGAAGGTGTCCCATACCAGGGTAAGCTTCGGCATTTGATGGTGCACCTTCGTCATCCAAAGGCATAACCTAGTCATTATAATTGATATTAGTCTGGTTAGAAATCAGATCATCTAAAGGTTATATTTTGTTGTAATATGCGAGTCAATGATTGATATTTATAGCTATATTTTCTAGCGGCGGACGTTGACGTCCCAAAGCCACACACACACACACCATCAGAAATATATTTTTTCCATCGTATTTTCTTCAATAGAAGCACGTTTGGTCATATATATGTAATTTCGAACCATATACAAGGATGATTTTTAAAAACAATTAAAGGAAACATTTTAGCACTTTCTACATATGCCGATTGTACTTTCCATTTTTAAAATATCGAATCTACCTTAAAGGTATTTTCTAGTTTTTTTCATTTTTTTCAGTTTATCAGTCTTTTAAAAACATCATATTCTTATTTATTTTTACAAGAATATATATTGTAAGTAACGACTTTTTAATAATACTGTCTTTAAATTAGAAAAGTTGTATACATACACGAAAATACTTACGAAATGGAGTGGAAATATTACAAAAACATCTATAAAAGTATAAAGCCCGTGCATCTAAATAAGTTTATTAGCTACAGATGTCATACTTTGCCACAGTTATGTATTTTGATATTCGATACCTATGGATAAAAACTAGTAATGTACAGGGAGAACTGCATATTGAAAACGGCATTGCCGAAGGTACCCCAATACCGATGCTGCCCTAGTCACCCCTACTACCGTATAATGCATTTTTATTCTGCTCTTATAAGGTTTTTATTAATAAGGTGGTCGAATCAGCACAGCTGTTGGTACAATTAAATGCCAAAAAATTTAAGTAAAAAATAATACATAATTATATTCGCAAAATATTTCATAACATTTTCGTAATTAATTTGTGTAAAATAAGCTTATTAGTCGGTTTGTTTCTTAAAAATATGCAGAATTGTTCGCTATATCAGACTTCATATTGTGTAAAACATTCAGATGAATATCTCTTAAATACTTTGGTAAAGCAGCTATAAATATTATTCTGTTCCATGTAAGATGTGAGTTGACTGAAAAATTAAAACACATTCTCTGTGAAATCAAAATTTTTGATCTTTAAATATATAATGTATACTAGAAGAGAACACCATTTGCTTTAGCATCCCCTTTAATTTGACTACCATTTTTACAAGTTTTATGCAGTTGGGAAAACAATTTTTAAACCATTTTGTTATTGTTACTCGATTCCTTATGTGTCCATTCATACTTTTTTCATTTCTACAACAATTTTGTCGAGAAAATAATGCGATATTTGACCTTTTCACTTCTAATCAATTAAGACCTGAAATGTTTTTCTTAAAAGAATTTTCAAATAAATATAAAAGTTAAAATATTTACAAGTTATTTTGCAGACAATCTTCACCGTTTGGCTTTATCCTAGTTCATACGATAGCTATACACTCACAGAGAAACGTGTAAAAATTTGGAATCGATTGGGTTATTAGTTTTTGAGTTATCGTGCCCGCCATTCGCAAAAGAGAAAAACGCGTTTAAAGTTTGAGAAGCCCTTTAGCCGTCACTTGATGCTGACACAATAAATCGGCTATATCTTCAAGAGTTCTTGAGATTTTCACTTGAAATTTTGTAGGGACATTCTTGAATTAGTGTAGATTCGAATTATTGACCTTAAACTCATGTTATATGAATAGAAATAATACTGCTTAAAATATTGGAATAAATAAATATTGGAATAATTATTAAGTCTATTTTGAAGTATACTAGCCACATAAGGCCTTTTGGCTTGGCTTTGAAATGAATAAATTAACCAGTAAGGAAAGTAGTAAAGTCGGACGGGGCCGACTATATTATACCCTTCACCACTATAGGTATATTAAACAGAACAATTAACATGAAATTGGATGAACTAAAATATGTGATATTTATCGAAATTTGAAAATCGGACGAAACTATATATGGGAGCTATATCTAAATCTGGACCGATTTTCACGAAACTTGGCAGACATCACTCTAAGCTCAATTCAGTACGTTATGCCAAATTTCGTGCAAATCGAAAGATATTTAGGGACTTTGGTGCACCATTTACATAAAATCGGACGAAACTATATATGGGAGCTATATCTAAATCTGGACCGATTTTCACGAAACTTGGCAGACATCACTCTAAGCTCAATTCAGTACGTTATGCCAAATTTCGTGCAAATCGAAAGATATTTAGGGACTTTGGTGCACCATTTACATAAAATCGGACGAAAATATATATGGGAGCTATATCTAAATCTGGACCGATTTTTCCCAATTTCAATAGGGTTCGTCCTTGGGCCAAATAAGTGAACTGTGCCAAATTTCATCCAAATCGGATCATAAATGCGACCTGTACTTTGTGCACAAAAATACATGGACGGACGGACGGACAGACGGACGGACATGCGTAAATCGACTCAGAAAGTAATTCTATGCATATTGTCAAAAGGAACTATGGGTCTATCTCGATTCCTTTTGCCTGTTACAAACATATGCACAAAGACATAATACCCTGTACCACAGTGTGGTGAAGGGTATAATAATAAAAATATAAATATTATCAAGAAAGAAAAGACAATTGCAACATATTCGTCGGTCAAGAGAGAATATAAGAAAAGTACTATACGGGAATGGCTTGAGCATAGCTGACATAAATGTCGAAAGTCGACTTAACTATCCCTATAATAAATACAGTACTTACCGGATATAAGTATTGTGGAAAGTGCCACCAAAACATTGGATATAAGCGGATACATTATTCACAAACACAATTAATGCATATATAAAAAATATTCACTTATATAAAGTATCTTCATTCTGTTTTTCTTAAAAAAGAGCCGTTAATTGTTTCTTTATCATGAAAAAATGTATTCATGTTATTATTTTTACACGGAGGAGGTCAAGTAATCTTTCGCGGATATTTCATAAACATTTATTATTTTCGGTCAAAATGACAGATTGAAGGCCACATCAAAATAATGTCAATACGTTTTCAAAACATCTGCTCAAGTTTAATTGCTATCAAGCGACGAATGATTATATCCGTGTTGCTCATATGCGGGAAATACTGTAAAAACACTTGATAAGTTGAAGAGGGTGGAAGCTTTAGGCATGTCCAGATTGCGGAATGCATTCTAATTGGTGCTGATCGTAGAATGACAACTAAGTGGAAATAAACAAACGGCCGAAGGGGGTGTTTTACAACTGATAACAGGTACTTACGTCGAATTTATAAAATCTAATCGCAGCCTTTAACTAGCGCACATTCTGAAGTGAAACATCACGACAAAAGCAGTTGACCACAGCAGTAACAATGAGTTTCATACCAACAGGTGAGTTTACTTTGTGGGCACACATTTGGAACATTTAATGTAAATACTACATGTTGAATTGTAGAACATCAACATAGACGTCTGAACCCTTTAACGGGTCAATGGATTTTAGTGTGTCCCCATCGTATGCTGAGGCCTTGGTCGGGACAGCAAGAATCAGCCCAGAAGAATGATTTACCCGAGTTTGATCCTAGTAATCCATTGTGTCCTGGAGTCACTAGGCCGAATGGTGTGGTAAGACTATTTCGCACTATTAATGAAGGACCAAACTAATTGCGTTCTTCTAATTAAAGAAAAATCCCAACTATGAAAGCACATTTGTTTTTACAAATGATTTCCCGGCTTTATTGGAAAATATTCCGGCACCACCGGAAAGCGATGATCCTCTGTTTCAAGCCGCTGCTGCAAGAGGAACATGTCGTGTTATGTGTTTCCATCCAAAGTCCAATCTAACCTTACCGTTGATGACACCATTGGAAATAGGAGTGGTAATCGACGAATGGATAAATCAATACAACGAATTGAGTGCAAAATACACATGGGTGCAGATTTTCGAGAACAAAGGTGCTGCTATGGGTTGCTCCAACCCCCATCCCCATTGTCAGATTTGGGCTTGTTCATTTTTGCCATCAGAGCCATCGGTTAAAAATGATAACCTCAAAAAATATTATCTGAAATACAAAAGACCAATGCTTAGCGATTACGCAGCCAAAGAAGTGCTACGTAAAGAGCGAATCGTTATTGACAATCCAGATTGGTTGGTGGTGGTGCCATATTGGGCTGCATGGCCATTTGAAACAATGATTATATCGCGTAACAACAACAAACGCATCAACGACTTAACCGAACAGCAAAAAAAGAATTTGGCTTTGGCCATTAAACAGCTGACGACCAAATATGATAATTTGTTTAAATGTTCTTTTCCATATTCCATGGGTTTCCATGGTGCCCCAACTGGTGATATGTTAGCAGAGGATGCAAGTCATTGGACTTTACATGCAATTTACTATCCACCACTGTTGAGATCTGCCACAGTTAGAAAATTTATGGTTGGTTTTGAATTGCTATGTCAATCCCAGAGAGATTTAACGGCGGAACAAGCAGCTCAGCGATTACGAGAGTTAGATGGAGAGAAACACTATTTGAAGGAGTAAAAATTCAATTCAATGTATACGTATGGAAATAAAAATTCCTATTGTAAAAATATTATATTGTTATATGTAAATACTACATTGTTATAGTAAAAAATAAAAAATATATATAATTTCCACCGCACCAAAATTCTTTTTGCGTTTTTATTGTTCTCAAGGTATATTTACTGTCAGGGAAGAAAAATTTTTATTTTCAGTTCTTTTCATTATTATGAAAACATTTCATATTAATTTCTGTAATGCAGTCCATTAAGGGGACCCCCCCATTCTCGGGGTCAAAATTTGTTTTGATTTAATTCGATTCTACACTAATTCAAGAATGTCTCAAAAAAATTACAAGTGAAAATCTGAAGAACACTTGAAGATATAGCCGATTTATTGTGTCAGCATCAAGTGACGGCTAAAGGGCTTTTCGAACTTTAAACGCGTTTTTCTCTTTTGCGAATGGCGGGCACGATAACTCAAAAACTAATAACCCAATTTTTTACACGTTTCTCTGTGAGTGTATAGCTATCGTACGAACTAGGATAAAGCCAATCGATGAAGATCTTCCTTATTTTTTAACTTGGTTTTTGGTCAAAAATCGGCGATTTTCCAAAAATATTTCTTCAAAGGTCCGCCATTTTGTTAATTTTAGAGCGAAGTCAATAAACCTGGTTCATACGAGAGCCAGACATGTATTCTTTCTAACACGTTGGAATTTTTGGATTCTGATGTTCCAGTGAGGAGTTATCATGCCCGCCATCAAAATTAAGGACTTTTTTAATTACAAAAAAACAACAATAAAGCAATAACAAAAATTGTTTGTAAATTATTTTTCTTCTCTTTTAAATGTTAAAATATATATGTGCAAAGTTACAAACCTTAACAAGCATTGGTATTGATTTACCAGCCCATTGAAAATCTTGAAAAATTAAAATCTAGAATGGGTGGGGTTCCCTTAAGTTATACTTTGCCACATTCCTCTAAAAAAACAAATACACATCATAAATACATGTGTTTATGCATTATATATTTTTTATTTATTTTTCAGTAGAATCAAAAAAAAAAAAACTTGGATAAAATCCAATCACTTAAAAAATTATTTAGTTTTCTTATTATATAAACCACATAATCAAGTCTTTCTTATATGTATTATATCTGTGTAACTGTTTTTTTTTTTTTTTTGATACATAAGCGGCTAATTTCCATGTTATTACTGATGTTTATGCGTAGTTCATGTATTTGGATTTGTTTGTCCTCTTTGTATGCAAACAGATATATCTGTAATATGTGTCATTTCATGTTCGTATGTAGTTATATAAATATGTATGTATATGTATGTGGTTTGGCCAAAAAGACAACATATTAGTTATTTAATATTTATATGTATATATTGTTTACAAGAGTAATTTAATTACCAATAAATAACATTTTCCCCAAAAATATGAACTGTGTAAACTTTAACAACCAACAAGGACATTTAGACTAATAATCACTCGACTATAATAATTACGATTACAAATACAATTGTTTATATCTATACGCTTTCTATTCCATTATTTCGATTATAAAAAGCTATTACAGACAACGATACATTGACATATGACTAGCGCAAGCACACAACTATATAATTATATATATATATGTATGAACATGCCGGTAGAAACACGCATCCTTCCGTATATTACGGTTGGTGCACGTGTAAGGGCATGGCATATGAATTAAGCAGCGACGATGCAATAAAACATTTTTTTTCAGAACATCGGCACAAGCAACAACAAACGAGACCCTACACCATTACAAGTAAAGGATATATATTTTTGTAAAACTTAAGGCCGTTTTAAACAAAGTATTTTTTTTTGGATTGAATCCTTTTTTAACCATGTGTCGTTTGAATCTATAACTTAAAAGCATATTGCACTTCAAATTTCATCAAAAATTGTCGAAGCTACAAATAACAATTTTCATACTGATAACAGAAAATTCGAGAAAACATACATTTCAATTAGTTTGGCACAGAATTTTGACTTCTCTTTAAGCATTATCCTTTAAACTTATTTTGAGCATTCCATAAAACGTAAATATTCTTAGGAAAAATAAATAGAAACTAATTTCTTAGCAAATGATTTATATCTGATTAGTTGTCAATGCATACCGACCGAACAGGTGTAGGGTGTCGAGGCTAAAGTATATTTTTCAATTTTTAAGCACACACAACAAGTATTTGCCAAGTGCTTTTGTGGTTGAGTGTCATACATGGAAACATTTAATATTAGTTTTTGTTTTTCAATGTTCATTTTCTTCCTATTCTTTTCTTGGAGATGATCCAAAAGAGTATGCAAGGAATGTCTTTAGGGTATATAAAGATGGGTGTTTATGCGTGTGTTGGTGTGCAAATTTATACACACATAGGCAACATGCGCCAAACACACACTCTCACTTGGACATTATGTTTGCAAATAAGGCGGCAGTTTAGAATTTTTTCATTACCGCACGTTGCTGCAAGGATTGCATTTCGCTAAGCAAAACGGCGACATTATAACGCAGACGGTGAAACATCGACAAAGGCAGTTCAAGGGTCCGGTAGCGACCGTCTGCTAGCTGGAAATGTAATATGATGGTGGGTGTTACAACTGCGCCTCCTCTATCGCCTTCACTGCCAGCTGTCTTTTTGTTGCTTGTTGATGCGGGGCCGCGTGGTATACTGAAATATCAACCCAAAAGCCAAATAGGAAATTGCGTTGTTTACAGGAGATAAATTGCCTACATACCTAAGGGATATATTGATGCGCCACTGCAGATTTTTGGCACATGACCGTAACTGTTTGGCCTCCACATAGTTCTTTGTCAACGAAGAGCGATGATTGTGTAAAACTTTAGCCAAATCCTCAACACATTCGTCACTAAATCTGAACATCAATAATTTTACCAATGCGTATCCTTACAAAATCTAGATGTACTCACCTTAGATCCTGTTTCAAGCAGTCCTTTAATTCTTCCGGCTTAACTGGAGTCCTCAGGAATATTTGCATTATCTGTAATATGGCTGCAAATAGTTCACAAAAATTTTCGGGTATTGGATGGCCGGCGTGTGTCAATTTGTTCAGAGCTAAATCCAATACTTCGGGTGAACACTTGCTACTCTCAATATAGTGGACAGATACTTGGATCAGAACCCGCATCACAGGTTTCGTTAGTTGTGGAAAGAATTTCACATAGGGTCGTATGGTTTTAACGACCGTGTAGCGAAAATTTGTGGACATTTTGTTGGAAGCCAGTCTCTCTTATACGTCCTGTGTGCTTGTTATCCTTTCGGCAAATGCCCGTTGGGTGTAACAACAATCTGTCAGCTGAATTGTTTATAGTGGTGTGTGTACACGAACGAAATAGTTCAATTGAACGATTCTCCGACACGAACGTATGGGTTAAATCGGTAATGCTGTTACTCACTGTAACATGATTACTCGTCGAGATATCCACTGTACAGTACAAATTGTGTACGCAATCCAAATTATGTACATCGTTTTGTTTGAATTGTACTTTCAAATTGTTTCTGTGGAAAATATCCTTAAGAATATTTTAATGTGATGTTTGTCCATCAATTGCAACTAATTTTGGGCTAACTAGCACGAATGAAGTGAAATAAATCTATTAATTCGATTATGAAACTAATCGATAATTGAGGAAAGTAATACAGTCGAAAACATGGTTGTTGCCTGCGCTGTAAGCATCAAACATATTTAAATCTTCGAAAAAATCGAATCAACAGATGTGTTTTCGCGTTTGTGTCTATTTAATCGGTTTATCATCGAAAAATTCGATACAGTAGATGTCGTTCATGGTTTGAGTGATAATTACTTAGAAAATAGTATTACTATACATTTTTTATCCAGCTACAGTTTTTGACACGGTTTAAAAAGTTAGCTGGCCCTAGATAAAATTATGGAAAACAGTCTTCCTCTATGGTCTGCGGAGGTCTACGGAATTACACACAGATTTTATTTTTTTTATTGGGAGGTACTAAAGAGAGTGGAACGATGGTTCCCATCTACCGGCTTGATCTAGATTTGGTAAAATATTATATAATCGAAGTAAGGTAATCACAATACGATTTGCAAACTGTAGATGAAATTGGATATTCTGTTCGTTTTATATGGGGTGTACAATTTTCAAAAATGTTCATCATCAAATCGGATAGTCCGTTCACGTGATATTACATAATAAATTTTCAGCAAAATTGTTGCCCTTTTTGTGGGGGAGGTAGCAGAAGGATTGGAACGATATCCTCCGTCTTCGAACTTGAACTATGTTTGCAATAAATATTACGATGTCCAAAGTTTGAATGAAAACGGGTTATCTCTTCTAGATTAATCGTGCGCATCAGCCAGGCGGACGAACAGACATTTGTAAATCGACTCCAATTATCCAAATTATTGGATAAGCCACATTTTTGCAGCACCCTTAGGGCTGAGCGTATAAAAATTAAATTAGTTTTTACGATTTTTTTGTAATTTCCCTTTAAAAGTATGTTTCTATTATGAAAAAAGTTTGTTTTCTTTTTATACCCTTTACCACGCTGTGGTACAGCTTATTATGTCTTTGTGCATATGTTTGTAACAGGCATAGAATATGCATAGCATCACTTTCTGACTTCATTCATGTCCGTCCATCCAAGTATTCTTGTGAACAAAGTACAGGTCGCATTTATAATCCGATTTGGGTGAATTTTGGCATAGATTACTTATTTGGCCCAGGGACGTACACTATCGAATTCTATTGAAATATTTATTTTCGTATAGTTTTATGTAAATGGTACACCAAATTCCCACGGTTTGTCCTATGGAGGCATTGAGTCTGAGATGGTGTGTGTTATGTTCCATTGAAATCGAATCAGATATAGATATAGTTGTAAATGCCACACCAAACTCTCAGTGTTTGTCCGAATGAGACAAAATTTGGAATAGCACACTGTATTGAGTCTAGAATGGCTTGTGCTAAATTACGTTTAAAATTTCGGGTAAATGGTGCACTTAATACCCAAAGTTTGTCCGATTGCCATGACAAATTACACGGAGTAGCTAATTGAGCGTAAAATGGAGCATTTTATGTTTAAATCGGTTTAGATTTCCATATATAAATTTTTCCGACTTCAAAAAATTGTGCACCAAATACCCAACGTTCTTTTGGTTGAGAGGAAATTTTATATCGGTCTTATCAATTGATACACATATTCAAAACTATCTTAAAACAATATGTACCACATTTGGTTACAAGTTAAATATATTAACAATTTCATTTATTTAAATATGTGTATATTTTATGGTTTTTACAGGTGCAACGTACAGAACGACGAGTTAAAAACAAAAACAATATTTTGCTGCATTCAGTTTTGATCGAAACAATTATAAAAATTTTAGAAAGAAGACTGACTTTCTTGAAGCCTTTTTTCATTTCAGGGGTTTTCCGTAATCTTCAATGTTTTCGGTTGTAATTTTAAATACTTAACCCTTTCAGTGTCAAAAAAATTTTTTTAAATCATATAAAGGGACATAGTTTAGAAAAAAATAGCAATTGTCATTATAACCTTCGGCCAGTTTCGTCTGTCTTTCAGCAAAAACAAAAACATCAATAGTAACGATACATAGAGTACTTTTAAACAGCGTTCGAAAATAAACATTATGGTACCGTTCCATAGTGTTCTGTACCGTACCAAGGTGGATAGGTACACTAAAATAACGTACTGTACCGGTACACAAACACTAAAAATATTTTTAGCGTTACTGTTCCGGAGCACAACGAAAATCTTAGCGTACCTGCTGCGGTACACTAAAAAATCGTAGTGTACCGACTGCGGTACATTAAAAATCGTTGTGTTCCTCTGGACGGAACACTAAAAATGTTAGTGTTCTGCTTATCGGAACACTAAAAATCTTAGTGTTCCACTTGCCGGAACACTAAAAATCGTAGTGTTCCGGCAGTGGTACACCAAAAATCGTAGTGTTCCACTGGTCGGAACAATACAAATCGTAAGTTTACTTGCAATTAAAAAAGTGAAAATGTCCATTTGAAATAGGTATTTTGGCCTGTTTTTGTGACAAAATTATACAGCTTAGGATAAAATTTTCATTAATTTACACAACGAACATATTTTCCATAATATTGGGAGATCTCCTTGTAAAATTCTAGTACGAAATTTTTTTTCTTAAAACAATTATACCTGCATCCATCTATGATTCATACTTTTAGGAAATTTTAGCAAAAATATTCAAAATTTGGTGATTGTCACACAATCAACATAATTATTACCTGCTTATTCATTAAAAGAAGTGTACAATTTACGCGGGTATGAAAAAAATATTTTTATGATTTTGGGATAAATGTTACAAAACCACATATTCTTTATGATTGTTGCACAGGTAGTCTTATGCAATACATTTTTCCGATCAGCGCAATCGATTATCAGCGAAAATGTAATCCAATGGAATTTTCAGTTGCGAGTTGACATTAGATTGAATTTTCACTCGACGACCTTTTTTAGTTATAAAATATTTATTATTTAAAACTGTAGATGCTAATAAAATATTACTAATTTTTAATAAAATATAAACAAATACAAATTTAACAAGTTTTCTATTTATTAAATCTATTGAAAAAAATATATAAATTTTATTCATACAAAAATAAAATATAATTAATACATCTTTTTGTGTTCCGACAAATGGAACACTACGATTTTAAGTGTTCCGCCAAGTGGAACACTACGATTTTTAGTGTTCCGCCAAATGGAACACTACGATTTTTAGTGTTCCGGCCAGTGGAACACTACGATTTTTAGTGTTCCGGCAAGTGGAACACTACGATTTTTAGTGTTCCGACCGCGGTACGCTACGGTTTTTTAGTGTTTCGACAGCGGTACACTACGATTTTTAGTGCTCCGACCGCGGTACACAGTAACAGTAACACTAAAATATTTTTTAATGTTTGTGTACCGGAACACTAACGCTAAAATTTTTTTAGTGTTTGTGTTCCTGGTACGGTACACTACGATAGTGTACCGTTTTTTTGCGAACACTGCTTTTAAATGTCGAATATATTCCACAAAAACACTGAAAGGGTTAATATTACAATTAATTATTAACGTAACGATTAACGATTTGTTACAAGTAACAATTGGATGTAAAAGTTTTTTTTGCAAAGAAGATATAAATTGCTTCTGCGGAAAATATCCTTAACAAAAACTAAGGGGACTGATGAGGATCAGTGGCGACGTCCGATACTGTAGTCATCCTGCCTTACCACCACTTGGTATACAATGCCATACTTTCCCACAAAAAAATTGTTTTTATAAAACCAACCAAATGCGATAATGCCTGGCTATTTTCCAATAACAAAATCCAAAGGGTATCCCAAATAACCCGCCAATATTACTAAACAATTAAACCTAAAAATTCCTCTTCAATCAAAATCAAATAAATAAATCAACAAGTTCATGGGTCTTTTATGGACTTAACATTTATGCATAGTGCACTTTTATACAAATTTTTCCCAACTTCCAATTGCAATATTTCCAATAAAATACACACGTACTGATGAAACAATATATGAATGAATGAGTAGTTAATGCGAAGAAATTACATTCAAAAAATACCACACGTGCTTAAACCTCCACCACAGAAGATTTAACTTGGTGACAAATTATTCCCCTGGGTCTTGTTATCGTCATCATCAACGTCCTAGTGGCAACATTGACCAATAGCAACATTGACAATGTGCGCTCAATAGAATATACATCTCACTAGTTCTCTCTCACCAGTGACAGTGAGAAGAGAGAGTGTTTTGGGGGTTCACATCGTGAGCCAACCAGCAAAGAGGCAATGTCGTTACAATTACAATTTGAACACTGCCGACGACTGCGGCATGAATGATTGAATAGAACTGAAGTCTCAGCTCAGAGAACGCTACTGCGCTTGGCTTCGCTGCCACGACTAGTCATGGTTCGATTTTAGCCAAATTGTCGATGCTTTGCCTAACTTGCGCTTCAGTTGCTTGTGAAACGTCGGTTGTGTCGGTATTGTTTTCTTTCTGATTCTGTTGTGTTCTAAGAAGAAGCTCAAAGTGAAGAAAACATTATTTAAGGCTCTTAAACATTGTTTATGAGTGAGTGTTTGTCTGTGTGACGACAGGCTGAAGTGTTAACGGTGTGTGAGTGTGTGTGTGCGAGTGTGGCTTATACACTTGAGAAATATACTATATATTCAAAGTTTGTGAAAAAACGGCTAAAAAATATAAGAAAACTTTAAAGAAACGAAATCTATTTTTTTAATATAAAACATTCCGTGTAAAGTTTTAAATGTTATTGTTTATTCGTTCACGAAAAATACAGCAGTAGTTGTTATTGTCCTTTAATTCGTAGCTGCTGAATAAACGAATTGCATAATGTCAATGCTTTAGAAATTTTCACTGCTTCTGTGTGTGTGTGCTATTCTAGGGGGCATTCCTTTAGGTTTTCAATTAATTCAATTTAAAGACAAATTTATTTTATTTTTAATTTATCAGAAATTGCAAAAGTCAAATGATCGTGGGAGATAATTTTTTAATTAGATTTTGTAATGCGAGAAAAAATTATAGGCTACAAATTGAAGGAAAGGTATTCGATGGCTGTATTCAAAGAATACATCCATATGACGGATATAGGAAGTCGTTTTAAGTCAGTAATATTTAATAAAGGTACTAAATTTCAATTTCATCGTTTTTTTGGCGAAGAAATTAACTGTCAAACTGTATCATTTATTACACGTCAAGCTTGTATGATAACACAACACAGTTTTCTTCACAAGAATAAGGTGAAATATTATCAATTTTTGAAACGATTTTTCGTTCTGTAATATGAGATCATATTACAGACCGTAATATACTATCTTTATAAATATATAAAAAATGTATATATTTATATATTTTGACAAATAAAAATTTTACTCCTTTCTATATCCAATTATCCTTAAACCATTTTCTTTTGTGTGACTCAGATTTTTGTAAATTTTTTTGGTTATTTTGAGCAACACAACTTCTTTAAAAGTCACTATGATAGAGGAGTAGGGATACCAACAATGGAGCTCTTACATCGATACCATAAACAACACAGTCAGTCATTTCGTTTAGGCGAATGTTATAAATATTCCTTTCTGTGAGTTGTGACACAAGGTTCCCTCTCTTTTACAACCGTTATTTAACGGTGTGTTTGTGTCTACTTCAAACGTTACGAGTGTCTGTGTGCGTACCCGTTTGAATTGCTGAAGAAGTGACATAACGACGTTCGTTTTTGCCATGAACCGCACGAATTTGCAGAGAACTGAGAATCCTTGAACAGCAAAGCAATAGCTCAAAGAATACCAAAAATAACGAATGAACAAACGAAGCAGGACAAAGTTAACACCAAATTCTTACAAAAAGGATACCAAATTTTGTTTTCATCGAAAATGAAAACAAAAAAGGCCAACGAAGCCTTACAACGGTTTAAGTTTTAAACCAAATTGTTGTCGTTTTTGTTATTTTTAAACTTGAGACCACAACCAATCCGTCCAGCCCTAGGTGAGGTGAAAAGGCCAAATCAATCGATTCCGTTTTACTACTTTCACAATTTATTTTTTGTTTTGTTCTAAAAAGAAAAAATCTGGGGTGTTTTGACATTGCCCTGAATTGGCCTGTGCCATCATTAGGTGATGGCTAACGGGCACCGTTGTATATGTGTGAGTGTGTTTTTTGTTTGTAATACCTTTCATTTGAAAAAAGGCCAAAAAACTAAAAAAAAGGAAAAACGACAGAATTCGACAGAAAAGCCCATTAAACACAGAAGCAATAAAAGTCATGAGTTGTTGACGACGACGTCTTCTTCTTCGACGATAGCAATTTTTTGACGTTATCCACAACGTCCAGCAATTTACATAGCGTGTCACAAATTATATTCGTCAATCGCCGTGCTTATATAATAAAGACATGCTACAGCAGTGTAGAAAAGACCATTCATTTATTTATTTATAACTTTACTTGAAATTTCAAGGATTTTTTTTTCATTACTTCTTATTCGTCTTATCCTAACAGCAGTGGCAGCAGTGTTATAGCGCGTATCGGAATAAACTTGAACCCTTAGAAAATTACACTTCGAAGACGAAAGTAAAGAAAAACGAACATAAAATCTGAAAAGACCAAGGAATTTAATATCCTTTTGTGTTTTTGTTTCGGAATCGAAAAAGAGAACAAAACATTCAATACCCCTTTTAATTCTACGAAAACAAAAAAGCAACGTCTAAACGCGGGAGGCCAGCATTCAGTTGAATTTTTGGTGAAGACAAAAACAAAACAAAAAAGAAAGAAAGAAAAAACGTAAAAAAGGACAATCCACCAAACCATAACCCAAATCGAATTTGCACACAAGTGTGTTGTTCGTGTCATTGTCGCCGTCGTCGTCCTTCTGTCGGTGTTGGTGTGTCGCCACGGTTCTTGGTCTGTTCGCCGTATAATGTTTGTTGTTCACAAGCGTAGTGTTGTTCGTGGTGACGGAGGTGGCGGTGCATTGCCACTAAACTTCCAGAGGATGTTTGTGTTGTGCGGTTTTCTGTTGCTGGTGCCACAATTGGCGTCGTCATCGATATTGTCCAAGTTGAGCGAGGACCCCGATTTGTCACAGGTAAGTGCATGCAACTTTAACTATGGCAATCAAATTAAATGAATACCCGACAGGGTATACATTGAAGGCAAATGTAGGTTGTGCCACAAAACCAAACACTCACACATATTGTGTGTGCATTTGTAGAAATAAAAAATAAAAGTGAGCTTAATGTTTGGATTTTATTTATAAACATATTTTTTTTTTCAAAAATATAATAGCGAAATATATGAATTTATTATTTTATGGAGTTGAAAATAATTAAATCATTTTTCCGTAATCACTAGAGAGGTAAAATTTATTACATTGTATAGCAGCAGATACCACTAATAATTTGCATAATCTGAGCTACGGCTCTAGACAATGACCGGCTGTTTTTTAAATAAGAATTTTTCTAATGTGGTCAATAAAAATGAACATTTCGAGCAGTTGTTATCTTACAAGAACAGGGAGCTTAGAAAATGTCTTGAACTTTTAGCATCAGCTGATTCATTTTTTATTTAATTAAACAGACAGAAACAAAGGATGGGAGTTCCTTGATTAAGATTCACTCCACACATCCAGTGTATCAAATTAATTTGAAAATTAGGAACTTTGAAAAGGAAAATCACAAATACTGTCAAACAAATTATTTCAGTTAAATCCAATATAAAATTTGATATTATTTTATAAAATGCGTGACAAATAATTAATAAATAAAAATACACTGGCAAGAATAATTATAAAAAACTGATAATATTTTGAATGAGCCGCGATCTTTCAATACATGTCCAGTTGGATTTACAAAAATGATACGTCATGGAGAAATAAATTTAAAATCGTACTCAATTATGTGTGTTTATGTTATCTAATTTGCATTAAACTTAACATTTGTTGACATAATGTAAAATGCTGATATGATGTTTGATTTTAAAAAGTAATTCAAAAGTATACTTCTACTGCAGACCCTATCCTCCTCAATAGCACCAGGTTGTCAACCATTCTGTTCAAAAGTGACAGACAAATAGTTCACATTGTTCCACTGAAACACCATATCATATGCATTCATCTCTTAATGAAATGCTCTTGATACGGTTCGTTGTGATGAACAAACAGATGGGAAGAAATCACAAATGACAATAAGAAAATACAAAACAAATATTTTTTTGTTTTTCAAAAATAATTATTGAAAAGAGATTTTTTTGACATCTTCCCATGCCGTCTGTTTTTGATGACGGTTGCTTTAAGTCATTGCTGGTAAATGTGTTTTAGCCAAACCAGCAAATTTTGGTTTCAAGTGCTAATACTAAATCCAGGGTGTGCAAAAACTACCACCAATCCAGTCAGTCAGTCGGTCAGTCAAACCAAACAACCAGCCAGCCACCAACCTGCCACTAAGCACTCAAGCCGTGTCTTTGTCATTGATGGTTGATGTTGTTGTTCTTGCTCAAGAAAATGAACTATTTCCCAATCGTTATAATGGACATACTCGGATCGATAGACAGATAACAAAACTGCAGAATATGAATGAAAGAAGGCAGAAGCAGAAGTGACTTTTTGTTAGGTATGAGACTTAAAAGTATTAGGTTACCAAGACCATTATGGCTGCTTCTTTCTGTTGTTGCTGTCGTCGTTCTTAGACCATTGTTAGGTCTAAGAATAGATACAAAATTGAATTGAATAGAAAAAAATGCAATGCATTGAAATGAAATATGTGATACTTCTTTACAATACACCGACAACGGCGACGACGACGACATGTTATGCCATCTACGCTGAAAAAATTATTTCGAAATTCCACCTGAATTCGAAAAGAAAGAAACAAAAAATGGTAATAGTGGCAACAGAATATAATCTTTCATGTTAATAGAGAGATTTCATTATTTTATGTCAACGGTTTCTAGTTTTTTTTTTCTTTTATTCTTTGCAAAGAATTTCTGTTAACGAAATCGAAACCTTTTAACAAAACCCATTCCGGCAGCCATGTATCGTATTCTAGCGGAACAACAGCTATGGTGGGGGTAACTATGGCCAAATACCCAATGACCATATGTTGTAGACATGCATATGGTACGACGGTAGTTAGAGAGGGGGTTTGTTAGAGTTATATAAACAGAAAAAAAATGAACACCTGAAATTAATATTTTTAGAATGGACTATTTTATTTCGGGGAAAGGATATTCCTTTGAAATTAAGTATGTTTTAAAAAACGATAAACCACTACCACCCACCACCATTTACAGGACTTCCATTCATTCGTTAGTGGAGTAATTACCATAGTCATTATATAATTAAAAAGTTAAAAGATACATTAAAATCTACCATTATCATAGAATTACATAAAAATAAAACACCTTGATAAGATTTTAATTGTATATTCCAGCTGTCGAATGTGTTTCATTCGTTTGGGGTTTTAGGGTTGATTTGCAGAAAAAGTAATTACCTGAAAACATAGTCTTATCTATTTTTTAACCTCTACTTTAAGGTTTTAATGAGGGCAATATCGACTTTTGACTCCAATTGTCTTTAGGCGAAATCATTTGCAGACAATTTGGAGAATGGGTATAAAATCTATAAATGGGGTCGCTGTGATAAGGTGTGAACAACATTTTGAATACCTATATTCATATGCATGTTTTTTCTCGTTTCAAAATAAATACACTTCAATATTTCCGGTATATGACCACCCCTACCTTATGTTGCAGAATTAACCTGTGCCTAAAGGTGAACTTTGCAGTTAATTTTTTCGATTCTATTTCCTAGCAGTTAAACTCAAATAGGTTGGTATATATAGTAAAAGCATTAAACATACTGGAAATAGGAAGACATGGTTATTTGGGACTGTACTAAAAATGATCCAAAAATAGATTAGTCAACTTGGTTGACAGGTGGACCAACATAGCAGATAGTCAGTGGAATGACTGCTATCAATTATTTTCGAAGTTAGCATGGTTACAGCAGCAACAATGTATGCAATAGTATACTGTTTGAGAATGTGTATACTTTATGTACACAATTTTAAAAACCTATAATCTCTAAAAACTTATATTATTATGAACTGAAATTTCAATAAAATTGAGTTAACATATTTAATAACGAATTTCGCAAAAGTATACAAAATTCAGAAACAAACAGAAAACATCGATAATTTAGTACCAACACCCAAAATTATACAAAAAATTTTCAGATGGTAACCTATCCATAATACTAAGTAAATCTACAAACTCTTCGGCATTCCTTAACCCATCTGCCTATATAAAATGGTCTTGCTGTTGCAAATCAGTCCTACATACTTCTTCTAGGCAGCATATAATCAAGGTTATAAATATTTGTATTTGTCCTTTAATACCTTCGTGTACGTGAATTGTTGAATTTGCTCTTTGACATTTACCACATTCAGTGATAACCTTGATTTGGAACTTAGACAAAAAAGTTCATTAAAATTTTCTTATCACTACAGCTGCTGTATAATTGATAATACCACACCACAATTTATGTTTTAGTTGTATTTAGTACACTTTGCAACAAGAAAATATTTTTCTTTTTCAATTTTAAAATATTGATTTTATTTGCCATCAATTTAAAGGTCAAGGTTTCCATCTGCAGTATATGATGGCGGCTTTTAACTTGTCACTCGTTGACGCAAACAGGTAGGCATGTAGCTACCTACCTTTGCAACAGCATCTGAGCGAGCAATTCCCCAAGCTGTGTGTATGTATATACATGTGTATGTGTGCGTGTGGCACCCTCTTCTCTTTGAGCAAATGAGTTAATGTTTTTGTTTCATGCTTTCAAGCATGTTTATGCAATGTTGTTGCACATTCCCCCTCCTTTTATTTTCTCTTTTGGTCTGATATTTTCGTATTCGTATTTTCATTTGAACGGTTATGAGCTCTCTCGCTCTCGCCCTTTCTCTTGTTCGATATAACTTGTGTACTGCTGCAACCTGTGAACATTTCGCATTGTTTTGTAACGAAGTACTGTTTTTTCCAAAAGCAGAATGCGAAATGGGAAAGAATGAGGGAAAGAATTATTATGTCATTTGTCTGTTGCTTCATACTGCCAGTCGTCTCATGTTGAATTTCATACTTCAATTATAGTCTATTTATTAATGATAATAATAGTTTTAGTGTTTGTGGTTAACTGCAATTTATAGATAAGAGACCGCCTGTAGTTACAGATACCATCCCGTTTGTATTAACTCAAGAAGAATTTTCATGGCATCATACTGCGATTAATTGCTAAAATCTGACAAAATCCCATTTTAATGTCGTCTGTTATTCTTATTGTCGAATACCCCATTGGAGGAAGCTGGCGACCATACCAATAATACTATACATTTCATTTGAGCCAGAGAAACGCTAAGAAATTTTTAAAAAATATTACAAACAATATAGGACTGAAGACAATTCCTTCTGGATTTATTTTTTTGAAATTATTTGTCCAAATTGTTTCAATTGAGAAAATTATTTTTAGTCCTGGAATAAAATACCCATAGCTCCTTTTTCCTACTGGTTATGCTTGTGATGGTACAATTTTTTCTCCATTCCAAGGATGCATCCGACGTAATTTGTGTACTTCAATGGTTTCAATGAGTTTTTGTGAGATTAAATACTTATCTACTCATGGCTTGGCTTGTATGTCGGCGGCATGTATTTGTATTGTGTGTATGTGGTGTAAAAGAGAATGTTGCGAGGAAGAGAATATGTAAATATTTGCATGGTGTAATGGTGTTATTTTCACGGGAGTTTGTATTTGGGTCAGATGTAATTCTAGACAGGAATGATACGCAGCCAATCTGGTTGAGTTGAGTATGCGGGCAAGCATTTGCAGAAGGAAGGTTTTGTGCAAAGCCAAACAAAATTCAATAAAAAAATGTGAATACCCCAGAAGAGAGGGCATCAAAGGGAAGTGTTTAAATGGAATGTGTCGGGCAAACAAAATATGTACGTTGGTATGTTAACATTTTATTGACTGTTGGAAAACTGTAATCAGTTTGTAAGGATAAATATTTTGTGGTTATTTACTTAAGTAATTGGATT